CAATAACAGCTCCTTTCAAAAAAAAAGAAAAGAAACTTTTAAAAACATCTAGACCAAATAGTTAAAAGCATTAACGATTGCGATAAAATACTTGTTAAGTCCGACGTTAAACTTCCACAAATTGACGGCAGACGACTACAACAAATTAATTAAAAAAAAATTAACTATGACATATAAAAAAGCTCATAATAACAATATTAATATGGTAGACAGTATCAACAGAACTAGTAAAATTATTACTGAAAAATTAGAAATAAGCGATAGGGTAGGCAAACTAATTGAAAAGGAATGCTACATCAGGCTTAAGGACCACAAATAGGATTTTGAGGAAGACCCCACTACCAGAATGATAAACCCAACCAGATCCAACATAGGAAAGATTAGCAAAAGAATCCTAGAAAGGATCACTAGGCAAATCAAAAAATACCTTGGATTAACACTCTGGATTAATACAAAAGAAGTCATCACTTGGTTTTCCAACATCGAAAATAAGCCTGATTGCACCCTGACCTTGTTCGATATTGTGGATTATTACCAGTCAATATCAAGAGATCTCATCACGACTACCCTGGAGTTTGCTACAGTATATTCTGACTTAACTAAGGAAGAAATGAACATAATTCTTAATGCAAAAAAATCTATCCCCATCCATAATGGGGACCAATGGATTAAAAACACTAATGACAATTTTGACATCACCATGAGATCTTTAAACTCTGCAGAGTCTTCTGACCTTGTCGGTCTGTTTATACTATACAATCTAACCGCGCACCGTGAATTAGACATTAAGGACATCGGGATATACAGGGATGACAGGCTCATGGTAGTGAGGAGCTCCACAAATTTTAAAATAGATAAAATTAGAAAGGTAATATATAGTGAATTCAGAAAACTAAACTTAAAAACTACAGTCAATACTAAATTAAAAAGGGTAAAGTTCCTCGACGTAACTCTAGACTTAATGAACAACATATACAGGAAACCTAACACTAATCCCTTGTATGTACACCCTAAGTCAAACCACCCTCCATCTATAATTAAGCATATACCCACATTAATAGGAAAAAGAATCAGCATGAAATCCGCTAATAAGGAAATATTCCAACAACACAGTAATTTTTATAACACAGCCCTAAAAAATAGCGAATGCAAAAACACTAACATAAATTATAGAAACAATAGTACTAACCAGAAGAAAAACAGGAAAAGGAAAATCATTTGTTATACCCCTCCATTCAACCAAATGGTTTGTATTAAGCTAGGACATAAGTTCCTAACTTTAATTGAAAAACACTTTCCTACTAATAGCAGACTTAGCAAGATCTTTAATAAAAACACCGTAAAATTAAGTTACAGTTACACTGAAAATCTAGAAAGAATCATAAAAAAACATAATAAAATCCTGGAAAAACACGCATGCCAAAAGAGTATTAATAAAAATCCTAAACCAAAATTAGACAAAAATAATGAAAAATTATGTGATTGTAGAAACCCTGAAGACTGCCCTTTGGAAAATAAATGCTGCACAAATCTGTGGTATGCCAATGCACTATCTCATCCATTGAGAGTCCTAACACAGATAGGATATACATTGGTTCAACGAAGAATGAATTTAAAATTAGATGGAGACAACACAAAAGCTCCTTCAATAATATTAGAAATAGAAATCAGACATCTCTATCCAAACATTTTTGGCATTTGAAAGAAATGAACAAAACACCAAAAGTAAAATGGAAAATAATAAATAGAAGAAGAACTTGTAAAACCTAGGATGACCCATGACAGGGCTTGATACTTTAACTGAATTTAATTTTAATAATTAAAAATTGATGTTTTTATTAAATTTTTTGAAACATGAGAACTCTTATTAGCGATGGAATCAAATATTTTTTTAAAATAATTATAATTTAAATTTCTAAACTTTGTAAAACATTTTTTTAAAAAAAAAAACGAAAAAAAACTAAAGAACTCTAGATTATTTACCTAACGTATTCTTTTTTCCTATTTTTTACATATCTGCACACCTTTACACAAAAAAAACACACACAACACACACACACATATATATATATTTGTGTGTTAATAAATAAATATATATATATATATATATATATATATATATATGTGTGTGTGTGTGTGTGTGTACAGACCAAGATGTATGAGGATGTCCGTAAATTTTTTGGGGTAATTTCTGCATTTCTTATCATCTCTCAGTTGCGTCTCTGTCCTTGGACAGAGTGCGCTCAGGGGCTTCTCTGTCAAAGGACAGAGGGGCAACTTCAAAAAATTATACTGAAGAGGTGCCCAGCCCTGAGGAACATTTGCCTGAGGCCGCCCCTCCCATTGCACAAGAGGGAGGGATCGGTGCTCCCATTGAGGCCAGCGCAACCGACGGTCTGGGGGCTTGAGGGGGAATTCAATAATTGTCCGAGTTTATGATATCGGGACCCCACATTAATCAGACCCCTTGTCACATCTCATTCTCGTTGGGGGATAATGAGTAAATACCACAGATATAGGTGTATGTATGTGCGTGTGTGAGTGCGTATGTGAGTGTATCGAACACATGAAATTTCTGTGCAATTCATATCTATCTCTATGAAATTCGTATATATCAATCTATGTACCTATCTATCTACAGGGCGATTGAAAACTAACTCCCTATTTTTTGTATGAGTGGCCAGCCAGTAGTCCTGACTTAACACACTGTTATGTCTTCCATACCACAATCTATCTCCATCTGATCATTATCTATCTATCTATCTATCTATGTCAGTCGCTTTCATATCTATCTATCTATATATGTTCATTATGTATGCACGTATTATCGATCTATCTATTTGCTGTAACCTAGGATAGATTAATGAATTGAATAATGAAGCGATGGTTGGTAATGAAGAACAATTCTTAGAACAAGAACAACGCATAAGATGCGCAGGCGGCGCGTAGTATTCAACGGCTAGAAGTGAGTCAAGTGAATTCCACAGTGAATCTCCTACAGTAGGTTATTTGCCCAACCTCTCCACGCCGCAGGATGCAGCACAAGGTCAGTTTTTGTGTGGGGCAAAACCGAGCCCGTAGTCTGGAGCAAAAATTTCCTGTAGACCCCGCATACACGGGGTTGGGTCTGTCTACCTCCCCGGACAAGACTCTGCTATTCGGCATAGCCTCGTCCGGTTTCCTCTCTGCATGGAGGCACAAAGTTCGACAACTTTTATAAAAAAGCTTTTGCCCACTCTGAATTTTAAAGTGGGCTGGAATCTCCAACGGTAGACAAACATACAGTATTCACTAATGGATTTATGGGAATGGGAACATACCCATTATCGTCCATAGGTATATGCTATAACACTATCTATCTATCTATCTATCTCAATCCTTTTCATATCTATCTATTTATCTATCTATCTATCTATCTATCTATTTCAGTCCTTTTCATATCTATCTATCTATCTATCTATCTATCTATCTATCTATCTATCGCATCTCTTTTCATTTCTATCTATCAATCTATCTATCTATCTATCTCAGTCCTTTTCATATCTATCTATCTATCTATCTCGGTCCTTTTCATTTCTATCTATCTATCTATCTTGCCCTGTTTATCATTATGTACATAATTTGTTTTAGGGAATATTATAAATTATTCCGTTGATTTCCAAAGCAGACACACATGAAGCAGAAACACACAAAGCAGACACACATACCCTCTTTATAAACAAGTGCCACGCAGCATAATTCATTACATTCGTTGTATTTGCAAAATATATGTTACCCCATAATTCCCGCGTCTCTCAACATATATTTCTCTATTCACCCCTCCTCTCAACCCCCAAACTTCCGCTACTGAGATGTCTTTGTCTTTCCACCCGCACGATTGTCGGCTGTTTAAATAAAAGGCAAACCGAAGTAAAGAATTTGATAATGAAGATGTTTTTTAGCGTATCTTTCCACACAGAAAATCTTTTGTTGCGTGACGCTGTTTATTTGCTTTTCTTTTTAATAAATCGATGACAGACAGAAAGTCTTCGATTAAATTTAAAAAAGAATCCTCCTCTTTTTTTTTTCTTAAAGATATTCCGATAATAAAAGTTATAATATTTTGAATAATTTTACCCCATCAAGACGATAATGCCCCTAAGACGCAAGGGGTTGGTGGGATTGAAAAACAAATACAAACCGATAACCTTTTCTGGGTACCTCCAGTATGGCTGATGCTAAACTGCAGGAGAGCAAATCAATGCACCTTCTTGGGATTATGTTTCCAACTGACTTCAAGTGTATCGACTACAGCGGATCAATTGCGTCCTGAGAGACAATTCTTCTGGTCAGAATCCATCTGTTACCGTATCTGGTCGGATTTTCCTGCTGTACATTTCGAAATTCTTGACCAAATCCAGAGGAGAGTCTGCAATATAATAGGTCCTGACCTGACATCTCGAATTCAGTCATTTTCTCAATGACGTGGTGTGACTTCCCACTGTCTTTTCTATAAATATTTTCATGGCAACTGTTCTGAGGAGCTTTTTTTTTACCTAGTACCCCAACTCCATGAATTTAACCGTGCTACTAGATTGGCAGTTAGGTCTCACTGTTTGACTGTTGAACTAGCAAGATGCAACCCCCACTTCTATTGTGTTTCTTTCCTCGCACTTCTCACCTTTGGAAGTCCCTTCCGTGTTTTTGCTTCTGATAACAGTAATCTTCAAAAAATTAAATGCAACGACAATCACCATCTTCTGTCCGATTTAACCCTGCATCTTCTTTTTTACCTTTCCTTAGTCCTCTCCATTATCAGTTGTCGCATTCTCTGTCATTCCCTGTAACCACCCCCTTGTGCCTTAGTGGCACTATCGCCTCGCATGGGGTGAAACGATTCGTAAGAAAAAAAAATAAAGAATGAGAAATCTTTAGTGAGGAGAAAGGACAATAAAAGAACAGGTTTCAGGAAGACAGAAGATGGCAATAATGATTTATAAAAAAAAAAAGGAAAAGAGAAACTAAGACGCAAAGGGGAAAGAACAATGGGAAAAGGTTTTAGAAAGAGAGAAGATTAGTGAGGAGAAAAGAACAATAAAAGAAAAGGTTGGAAAAAGGAGGAAGACATAAAAAGATGGCAATAAAAACAGAAAAGACGCAAGGGGAAATACTGCAAGGGAAAGGAAAAAGAATGAGAAGACTTTTAGTGAGGAGAAAGGAAAGAAGAGGTAAAAGAAGAAGGTAGTATAAGGCATTAAAAAAAGAAGATTGCAATAATTGAGAGAAAACGTGGATCCTGTTTTTATTGGGAGGAGAAAACAAGAATGAAAGAAAATGTTTAGAAAGACAGAAATGGCAATAAGAAGAAAAAGTTAAAAGAAGAAGAGAAGAAGGAAAAGGATTTGGGAAAAAGATTTAATGGAAGAAGAAGATGGCAATAATGCCAGTAAGACGCAAGGGGTTACTGGGAGTGAAAAGAATAAGACTTTAGTGAGGAGAAAGGACAATAAAAGAACAGGTTTCAGGAAGACAGAAGATGGAATTAATGCCACTAATGCCAGTAAGAAAAATGTAAAAAGAAGAAACTGGGAGAAAAAACAATAAGAATAAGAAAGAAAAGTGAAGAGGAGAAAGGAAAGTAAGAAGAAAAAGAACAGGATGAAAGAGAATAAAATCAGAAGAGGGTGATTGAACAGGTTTAAGGATCTTTGATTCGATTGTTTCATGCCAGGGAAGTAAGGAATCCGTAGAGAGTTTCACAAGCAAGAAGTGCGAGAAAAGAAACTATACAAATAGAACACACGCGTACATCTAGCTATTTCAACAGCAGAACGATGAGACCTAAATGCCAATTTAGTATTACGTTTAAATTCATGAAGTCCAGCTCCCAAGAAAAAAAACTCATTGGAAGAATTGCCATGAAAATATTTATAGAAATAAATGGCTGTTGCTATGTCACCTCGGTGAGAAGGTGACTGCAATCGAGATGTATTTACAGATTCATATACAACGCTTTATAACAGACTAACTCCGAGTCGTCATCGCTGGCTCCATCTTGCATTGATTCATTGCATTTCTTCTCTGGCGTTTGAAGTTTTTCAACCTAGGCAAGCTCTTTTCTTTGATGGCTTGTATTAGGCAAGTATGAATTATCAAATGGAATGCGTGGGCAAATACCAGAAGAGAACACTGTAAACCTTCAGAGATCAATAAGCTCGAATAACTTTAGGAAAGGTTGGAAAAATAAATGTTGAGTAATAAAAATCAAGCTTACTTATTATTATGGTGAATGCAATGCAAAAACAGGCAGGACAATAAAAAAAATAAAATTGGGAACGGCTATAAACGACAATGAAAGCAACGCCTTAAAACTGTAGTAGTAGGCTATATGCAATGGGAAAGATAACCTCACTTGAGAGAGATTTTGAAGTTTGGCCAAAAGAAGGGGAATGTGTAATATGGACTCAAAACCGGCACTGAAGAATTATCTATCAAACAAAAAAAAATTCATCGAAATTCGATGAAAACTGTGGAAACGCATAAACAACATCCGATCACACACACAAACATACACACACATATTTTTAGATGAATATATATATATATATATATATATATATATATATATATATATATATATATATATATATATATCGTATCTAAGAATTAAATGTTTCTTCTTTGCTGTTCGCTTCCTTTATGATGATGGCGTTGATGATTGAATTCGACGCCAACGTGCAGGTTCGTGGCTAGAAGCTTCCAGTTTTGCTGAAAGATTCGAATGTCATCCATTCCTATCGCCGTTTGGAGGTGAAAGAAAATTAGATTAGAAGAACGTGGTGATGATATGAATTTGTTTAAGGTGGACCTCAAAGGAAGTGAGCCACACACATGACATTTCCACTGCGGTACATATGGAATAAGATATGCAGAATAGACTTATGAAACTGCCATTGATTCTTTTATGATTTAGAATGGTACCTTTTGTGGCATGTAGATCTCTTCATCCGCTTGTCCCACTGTTGGAGTGTTTGGAGTTATAAATATGTTTAGATCCTAAACCTAAATACTGCCAAGGGTTGACCTTAAAACGAATTTAGAAATCCCTGATGGCAGAAATCGCAGAATCATCAAAAACAAGTCCCTCCACCACGACAATGAGACCCGGGTAGTGGAGGGGTTTGCGATCCCAGCGTGCAATACCTTTGGAAAGTGCCTGAAAACCATACCACGAGTTGACCTAAGCTTTCTAAGTAACACTTGGGGAGACGGAACACTTGGGGCCGTCGATAGCTGTGCTAGCACGAAGTTATTGTTCATTTGGCCGAAGGTTTGAATGTGCTGGCTTGGTTCAGATTGTTGATCATTCTAGATAACACGCTCTCTCCCAGTAACTGTAACTAAGGTCTGCTCAACATAGTTCTAGTGTCAGCCACAAGATGATGGCGTTGATAACTGCATTTGCCGCCAACGTGCAGGTTCAGGACTAGAAGCATCCAGTTTCACTAAAACTTTTCCCTGTTGCAAAAATCAGAGAGTCTAGTAAAAGAAAACCTAAAGATTGCAAAAACTTAAAATTTGTAATGGTAATGGGAAAATGTAATGTTTACTATTAATATATACTTTATATCTCTGTTATGTCACATCGAGCACTATTTTAATAAACTATATATATATATATATATATATATATATATATATATATATATATATATAAAGTGGATACAACGTCTAAAAAAACACAATATCCAGCCGGGCTAAACCATAAATTTAACAATATAGATAGTACTAATATATAACTCAACAAATCAAAAACCTACCCACATTTCTCACCCACACAAGACAGACATGCTTACGGAGGTGTTGAGGCCTCACTCTTATATACACACCCACACGAATATACACACTTACACACATCATACTCACTCACTCCCTAATGTGCCAAATGATAACACACACCCACAGCAATACACACACTTACACACATCATACTTACTCACTCCCTAAGAACCAAATAACACACACACAAAAACTTAACAGAGACACATCCCCTCTCAAGGACCAATAAAACTGTCAAACTGACCAAGGGAATTCAGAGAAGCATAGATCCATCCAGCTCTTATCTCAAATAACAACTTAAAAGAGACTGTTTGACCAACACAAGGAATGTTAAAAAATTCATGTTAAAAAGATAAAAAAAATAAAAAAAACAAATGAAAACTACAGACAAAAGTTCATTTTCTCCATCAAGACATTCATTTCTGTAGTTTACTGCTACCAGCAAGCAGAAATATTTCTTCTCCTGATGATGGCCATTTTGGTCGAAACTAGTCGAGGAATCTAAATGAAATAATAATAAAAAAACGAAAGAATATTAATCTACAACCCAGTGTGTCAGAAGATTTTATTTTTTAATATTTTTATTTTCAATATATATATATATATATATATATATATATATATATATATATATATATATATATATATATATTATAATTATTTTTTAAAAATATGAATCCTCCACTACATAAGAGTTCTCATGTTTCAAAAAACACGAGCTGAAAACTTCAATAAATTTGACAATTAAATTGAATTTAGTCAAAAAATCTGTTTCATTTTCATAAAATTTTTTGAATAACCTGATTAACAAATTACACAAATTTATATATATATATATATATATATATATATATATATATATATATATATATATATATAACTTGATAGAAATAATTTAATTAAATAATTCTTTTTTAAGTCTAGAAGAAACCTCAAAAAAATACAGAAAGCATGGATGGCCGTTTTGATTATATATATATAAAGGACTCATCTTTTTGCGCATAAATTATTAATGAGAATTGAAACCGGACAGATTTATAAACGTTAAACGCAAACGTAAAAATATATATATATATATATATATATATATATATATATATATATATATATATATATATATATATATATATATGAAAGCGAATTTAAACAAATAGATAAAAAAAATGTGAATAAACAAAAAAATAACTAGATATTAGCAAATTTATATATTTTTTAGCGTGAATATTTATATAAGCGAATAAATATTTATTCAGTTTAATTCAAAAATAAAAAAAAAGTGGTTAGATGTTTTATGATATACAAAATATATATATATATATATATATATATATATATATATATATTATATTTTTTAGTTTATATAAAATATTTAAAAAAAAATATTCTTGCCATTCAAAGGGCGTTGAATTAAAGAAGTTGGGAACCATTCAAAAAGCAGCTCATAATAAGCAATTACTATGAAAGTATTTGTTAAAAAGACAGAAGGCGACGGCGAATGCGCGTAAATGAGAGACACTTTGCAGACGAGATGCCAGAATAGCAAAAGGGCCATATTTATATTACATATCCGCCTCTGGATCTTGTCAAGATTTATAGAAAATTAGAAGGTGCACCAGACCATATATTTAAGCATTACTTGAGATGCAAGGGCGAATGATTGATTTGTATATTTGAAGTATCGAAATAAGAAAAAAAAAATTTAAGTGAAGAGCCAATTTTTAACTTTAAACAAAACCTGAATTGAATTCAATGTATTTGTTCCATTCAGGTCAGCAGTCAAAATTGAGACCGAGCAGACGCAGAGAGGCGCTTTGAAAATAACTCATCAGACATTTTAAAATTATGGGAGAATATATATATATATATATATATATATATATATATATATATATATATATATATATATACTTTTATATGTTTTATAAATATAAGAAAAATTATATATTTAAAATATCAATACCGTATTTATAATTGCAAATAATCAAACCAATATATAATTAAGAAAAAATATACAAAAAAAGAAATATAAGAATATGTATTCGTAATATTGAAAAGAAACATAAAATATCCAAATCCAAACCCCCCCTCAACCACCAAAAAATTATATTGAGAAATTTAATTTAGATTCATTTAATCTTTTTTTTTTCATTTTTTTCTTAACAAAAAAATATAAAAATTATTAAAAAAAGAAAAAACAAACAACATCTATAATATAATTTTGAAGATAAAAAGAACAGACGATTTTTGTTTGTAGTAAAAATTTCAATAATAATACGGCAGAAATTTATATAAAAATTTGATGGGTTTTTCATTCATAATTTTGGAGTAATTTTTTATTTTGAATTGTTTGCGATGATGGATAGGAGCCATTTAAAAAATAAAATTTTTGCATTAGTTTTAAATTGACATAAAGGAATAAAATTTAAAAAATTGAAAAAAAATTTTTTTTTTAATAAA